TTTTTTGGGCTTCCCAAAATTCTAGCCTAATTAATATTAACTAAACTTTAATCCAAAAACCCCAGCCCAGCCCCAGCCCACTGTCCAGTATCCCAATTCAATGTCAATTTATCCTACACATAATTAAAACCCTTACCCTAACCCAGATAATTACTTTCTCCACTCTCCAGAAGACCAGACCACTTCTATTGAATCTTTCACTCAAATTCGCCACCGATATTGATTCAGCTTCTTCTGCAGATCATGAGGTGAAAAACAGAAGCAACATCTTGTTTTGATTTACAGTTTTGATTAACTTGTGGAGGTATATTTGGGTGTCGTAATTGAATTGAGGTTGATAGTTGAAATTAGGAACTTGATTTTTTTAACACATATTTGGAAGAGTACTTACATCATATCAATGTCTACAAGTTTCTTGCTTCCTGAGGCAAATGAAAACTTGACAATTTGTGCCTCCCCAGAAGTCAAGGCAACATATTTTCTAGTTTAAATGATCATATATAAACGTCTTTGTTGTTTTGTATTCTTCTTTCATTTTTATCTTTATCATTGCCATATGAATGACGTTCATGGACGATTTTTATCCAATTTCAGGCTTCTATTCGAGAATTTGTGGAAGATGTTCGTACGTATAGAGTTATATTTTTGGATTCAAAACAGCAGCTACTTAAATTTGCTCAAGATTTTGTTACAAAGTATGACTGCTATTTCTATCTCACCATTATACTAAGTGAATCATGAAAAAAATACTTTGTTGCACTAACGTTTCTTTGTTTTTCCAATAAAATTAGGCACTTTGAAGCCACTCGTCAGCAAATTAAGCAGTTTCGCTCAGTGGAACTTTTGGCAATCCTTCGTAAGCCCACAATATTATATCAATTATTGCAACTTTGACATTATAAATGTCTTTTTCAGTATTTGGATTTTTCTTGCATTTTGCTTGCACGAATAGTTTTAGTTCATGAGTTAAGGGTAAGCATATTACCATTTTCATCTTTACTGTACTGGATGTGTGTAATTCACTTGACCATGTGCAGTATGTATCTAAAATGAGAAAAAGAAAATGAGAAACAAAAATTAGCTCTATATATAATTTTATATCTAGTACTATTAACTTTCATTGACTTTTTTTTGTAAATTATTTTTTTTCAAGTTGACGATTGGACCTATAAAAAATAATTTATTTTCGTGGTTATTAACCGAACCGAACCGAGATACAAATCGAACTGAATCGAACTGACTTTCGTGGTTATGGTGCGGTTATGGTATGACCAAAAAATTGGTGGTGCGGTTATGGTTTTGACCGAACCGACCCCGAACCGAACCGTTGCCATCCCTAGTAGTAACACTCCACAAAGTTCAGTGATTGTTAATATACATTTTTAAGTTCAATTATTAAGTTCTTGTTTGGTATTTATTTTTTTCAAAATACATTTCTCTCTTTTATTTTCAATCATATATTATTCAATAAAATAATATTATACTCAAATTCAAAATTTTGCCTTATTTTTTAACTGCACATTCTCCCAAAAAAAAAAAACGAGGCTCAAACAGACACTAAGTAGTAACAAATTTTTCTTCTCTTAAATCGACCTCTTTGAAAAAAGAAACTAAAGAAAATGAAGGGAAAAAAGATGAAAAAATCAAATCGACCGTAGTTACTTTGGCACTAATTCGAATATTTTTGTACTTTTATGTAATTTTTCTCTATCAATTTCTTTCAATGTTCATACTGTCTCTTTTTATGCAAAGTTTGAGTTACGGTAAACTAATATTAGTTGATCCATAAATCACATGTACTTTTTTGGAAGTTGCCGATGAAGCGGATATGCTAATTGGGGATTTGATTACTCCGCAGATCATTCAAAACCAATTTAGCATCGTATATCTTCCATTAGGCAGCAAAACTTTCAGTTGAAAACTAATGTCATCCATTTATTTCAGAATGGACATTAACTAAAGTTCTATTTTTATTGGATTTATATGCCTCTGATTTTCTGTTTCCTCTTTTTTCCTTCGTTTTCTTTGATTTCTTCTTTTGTAGATGTCGGTTTGAGGGACTTCATAATTGAATTTAAAAATATATCTCAATTGTTACTGAACTATGCCAAATGTTACTGTTTAATCACTGAACTTAAAAATATATCTCAATCGTCATTGAACTTCGCCAAGTGTTACTACTTAATAACTAAAGTTAAAAATACATCTCAATGGTCATTGAATTATGCACCGTGTTACCCATCTATTACTCAAGTTGACGTTGTTTGCTGAACCTCGTGGATTTTCTCACTTGAGTGATGGATTAATAACACGGTACATAGTTCAGTGACCATTGTGATACATTTTTAAATCCAATTATCAAGTAGTAACACTTGGCGAAATTCAGTGGCCATTGAGATATATTTTTTAATTCGATTATTAAATAGTAACATTTGGCAAAATTCAGTAATCATTCACGTAATTAACCCGTCAAATGTTAAACAATTGTAGTTTTTTTGAACCACCAGTTAAATTGATTTTGTGAGCATTTTGAAGTTCCGATTTATGTCTGTGGAAAATCTTTGGCCGTTTGGTTTATATTTCAATTTTCAATTTAAAGTTTTTAGTTCTACTTTCAATTTTATGTTTTGAAGATTTGTTTTAAAATTGCTCAAAATACGTTTGATTGGTCATTTTGATTTTTTTTTTTTATCCTCAAAACAGGAAATTAGAAAACACGTTTGGCCTAGAATTTTGAAAATTGTTTTATAATATTTTATTCTATGAAATTTGATTTTTCGATAAAAATAGAACAAATTTATATCAAGAGTTCATTGTTTCAATATTCACCCAACTTATATTATGGTGCTCACTGAACTTTGTCAGTTTGCACTCCATCTATCACTCTAAAAAATCACCTTATTCTCTGATATGGCTAATGGAAATCTAACGTGGCAAGTTAAGGTCGTTAAAAAAATTACAACTCAATTAAACAATTGTTTCATTACACATCCAACTTACACTTGGTCATAGTTTACTTATCGAACTTCAAACTGTTTCACAATGGTCACTCATCTTTGCAGATGTTGTACTCCATCCGTTATCCGTCATATTTTGTTTCATTTGTTGCTAATATTTGCACAGAAATTTTACGTGATAAGTTACAAATGTTAAACAAATACAACTCAACAAAACTATCAACTCACAAAAATACCAGATGTGAAATGTGACTTCCACAGCCCAATAAACTTCTTTAAAACCTAATAAAACGTCCCCAGTGATTCTTTTAGAAATATCATTTTTCCAATTTGAACATCTAATGTACGAAAAATAGATTTCAATCTGAGGCTAAAAATTTAAAACATAACTTGTTCGACTGAAAATTGATTTGTGAAAAATACTTTGTCTATATTTCACTCATTTGACTTCTAATTGCATCCAATTGATTATATGTGATCTTCAATCATCGTTTTGTATTTCGAATCAACTATTAAATATTTGCAATTTGATCTCCGAACTTTAGAGTTCTTGCAATTTCACCTTTTTTTCTCGTTCATTGTATCCAATTCCGCCAATTTCATCGATCTTTTCCTAACAAACATAATATACATAGAATTAAACCATAATTTATTAAAATATCCAAAAAATACTCTACTTTAAAAGCTTCAAAATAAGTGTACAAAATACTCAACGCTAGGTTTTTAGGGTTGTTTATGGAGAGTGGAAGTTGTGTTTTATATATGTTGATTTTTGTGAGTTGATGGTTTAGTTGAGTTGTAAATTTTTTGACGATTGTAACTTAATCATGGATTTTTCGTACAATAAATTAGCAACAAAGTGAACAAAATATGATGGATGGAGTGCCGCATCTCAAAGATGAGTGACCATTAGGAAGCGTTTTGAAGTTTGATGAGTAAACTGTGACAAAATGTAAATTGGATGAGTAATGAAACAATGATTTAATTGAGTTGTAATTTTTCTAACAGTCGTCACGTGCCATATCAGATTTTCATTAGCCACGTCAACGAATAAGTTAACAGAATTTTTAGGGTGATAGATGGAGTGCAAACGACAAAGTTCAATGAGCATTGTGAAGCACTTTAAAGTTCAGTAAGTAAACTGTGACCATATAAGTTGGGTGATTATTGAAACAATTTACTTTTATATCAAGCAGTATATATATTTTAAAGTTGGTGAATCTTATAAATTTTTTTCTTGTTACAAAAGTAAAATAAAAACGAAAATAAAAATTATGGACGTGGACTAATAATATTTTTGTTTGTGTTCATTTAAATATTTCTTTAGAATTTGTATGTAAATAATCATTACATTAAAAGCTTAAAATATACATTTTTTTTGTAATTTTTATTTTTAAATTTTTATTTTTTATTTTTTTAGAATTTTAGTTTTTAGATTTTATTTTTCCAAATTTTTATTAGTTAGAAGTTATATTTATATTTTAAAAAAATTTATTTAAACACTTGTTTTCCTTGTTTTGAGTGTTCAAAATTTTCATTGAAAATACTCAAAACTTCAAAAATGTGTTTTGAGTTTTATTTTATAATTTTACTGATTTTGAAAAGGAAGAATTATAGTCACGATCAAAACTTTTATATTTTTTTTCGCCGAAGGCTACAATGCATTATTTGCTGCCATAGTTTCAAACAGTTCAACAACTTCATTTGTTGATTGGAATGTGATGGATTCATTTGCAGCTAAGTTAACATATATGTGCGACGTGAAGGATTCAACCAAAGTGTAATGAATTACTCAAGTGGCAAGTCATCATCATCAATTTTGACAAGCCATTCAATTCGTGCCGCTGTATTGCTTTGTTCTGTCGTGCTGTGAGGTTCTCTCATTGTTGCTTCTTTCTCTATTTGAAAGTTCGTTCAATTTTCAGATCAAAGGGTATGAGATCACGTCCTTCGAACTTCGCATGCGATGTAACATGAAAAAAGGAAAAAAAAAATAAGAATGAAGATCAAATCAAAGCTAGAATTAATTAAAATAAAAGCTAAAGTGAACAAAGTAGTCTTGGTCAACTGTACCAAAAAATTAATCGATTAATTCTGCAAGTGTACAAATCGTAACAAGTAATAAAGTAAAATTGTTGAGTCCAAGTATCATCTCACATATACTACTATTTACTATCAGTTTTTACCCTAACATAACTTCAATCTTATTTAAAATAGTAAGCAAACATCAATTCAATTTTGTTTAAATAATTGTACTAAGCTAAGGTAATCTATTTATATAATGTTGAAGAAGATTATGAGATTAAATAGTTGGGATTTCAAATTTCACTTAGGTTATTTAAAATTCATATAACTCTAATTCATTCAGCCCCTTTTTCACGTGTCAACATCGAATTAACAATTATATCTAGCGATCTTTCTCAAGCAAAAGTAAATATTCACATTCTCAAATTTACTATATTTTTATGTAAATTCATACACATATTAATGCTTTAACCTAGAGGAATCCTATCCAGATTGCATAGCATGTAATATCTGACAATCTCTTATAATACCAATGTTATTTATTGCATGAGCTAGATTAATACATCACCTCTCGATCGCAATATTATTACTCAATTAATAAATTAATTTGCAAATGATTTTTCAAATAAATAAATAATAAATAATTAACACATATTGAAGTGCATGAAGTCTTGAATTTAAATAAATATTAAACTCCTAAACTATATCGTCATTCTAACAAAAATGTATCTAGTCATTCATAATTTCGAAATTAAACAAATAAAGGTTAAAATATATTACCGAGTTAATTACAATGAACAAGATAAAAAAAGGAAAAAAAAACTGTCATTTTTCTTCACCACACATTCTCAACAATGATTCTTTGTCTCCTTCCTTAATTATTATAAATCTCCTGATAATTCGTTGATGGTA